GCAATATTATGCAGCCATGTAGTTTTGTTTTAAATCTCTGAAGCCGTCTCCACCAGAACTGGTTTTTTATTAGGTGGTTTCGCTTTTAACTGCCGTGTTTGACTTGTTCTTCAAGAAAGAGCTATGAGTTTTCATGTGTGAAGCCTCAGAGATACAAGACAGTAAAAGCTAGGTGTTACCAATATTTATCCGCCCTAGTTGGAGATCAAGCCTAAGAGAAGCTGCTCGTGCTTTTGCCCAGCATGTGTTTCTAAGTGACAGTGTGAAAAGTGAACCCAGAAAGAGAAGAGATTGTCATTCTTCCTGGAGATCGGAGAGATGGATTGAACTTCATTTTGAAATTAAGTAAGGAAACATTTTGCTGGCAAAAATATAACCTGTATGGTGTAAACATATGGACAGGGTAAATTCCATTTGTTTATCCACCTTTAAAACATAGTAAGTAAGGGATTTTGAATGTTTAATTCTTTTCCGTAATTGAAAATGAGATTTGAAGGAAAGAATAGAAATCGTTCAAACTTCGACATCTTTTATATACTTCAGTGTGATCTGATTGGGCAGGCAGATACTTTTCATCCTGTAGGCAGACTGTATAAATATACCAGGTCAACAGTCATGGCGAGTAGTATACACCACTAGTCAGTAGTATACGGAGGATGGAGCTAGAAGATTGTGATGTGAAGCCAGCTAGCAGAAAGGTCTACAAAACTCCATTTCTAATTAATTTTAACCAACAAAATGCCACACTGGAAGCATGGCTTAAGTGCCAAAGCATTAACATTAGGCAAGAAAGCCTAGTGAGAGTGAGAAGCCTTGAAGTCCCCATACTGGTATGTGCATGTGTGCACATGTGCATGTGCATACATGCATGCATCCTCTACACATACACAAGGTTTCTCATACCACAATCTGGTTTCCCTAAATTCCTTACAAATTATAAGCCTTGGTCCCCAGCAAGCGCAGAACCATCCTCAGACACTTGCATTCTTTGGAGGAATTAAAGAGTAGTAAACATCTTTCTTTTACATAGATCATTTTAAATTGGTTAATTATGTCCTTGTTCCAAAAGCGGTCTAGATTTTGAAAGTAGGAATTAAAGTTTAATGAAGTGTGATGTGTCATGCATATCTAATTATAGCAGTATTCTGACATCTGAATTTTGAATTTCTCCAATTCAGCTGTGAAACACAGCATAGATATTTGCAGATTTGTCCCTAACTTTATGACCTCACATTTTGTAAGGGCAGATGGGCTCCTTCCAGACTTTCTGTTCCATTGTCCTAGTTCATCTTGGACTTGATGGAATGGGATGTTCATCCTGGGTGGATTTCCACGGCCCTTTAAGCTATTTCTCCAGTGCAGAAATGGGTCCTTTGTGGAGAGCTCCTTACCAATCTATTAATGAAGATCAATTCTGTCTGATACTTTTGAGCCACTCAAAAATGACACAGTCATTGTACATTGCCCTGTTCTACTGCTGTTTATTGAAGTCAAGTTCTCAACTAAAAGTGTAGAGCAGCCTTGTAGATCAATCCACCAATTGCTAGGTGAGCTGCTAGCACTGAACCTGTAAATAAACCTCATTAAACCAGTGACCAGTGCTTTTCCAACTTTGTTTTGTTTAATGATCCCACAGAAAACTGGAAGGGATGGCAGAAGGTCAGTTTTTGGGGATCCTGGGAATTAGCATTCCTAAAACTATTCCAGGTGCACCTTGGTCCCCTTGGGTCCCAGACCACACTGTGAGAAGCCGAGTCTTGGAGAGTGGTTGTGAGACCCCCTGCCTCTCCAGACCCCCAAATCAGTAACTGTCCTTTTAACAAGAGAGGGCATATTCTTGGCCACGAACATTTTCCCCTCAGGAGGACAGTGATGAATATACTACCATTACTGGGATTGCTAATATTAGAATTTACTGTGAAACTCTTTCAAGTAACCACTTAAAACTTTGGGTCCTGCTGGGCTCTGGTGGCTCTTGACTAGAATCATAGCTACTCAGAAGGATGAGATCTGAGGATTGTGGTTCAGAGCCAGCCCAGACAGGAAAGTCCTTGACACTCTATTCTCCACCAATTAACTACCAGAAAATTGGAACTAGTGCTGTGGCTCAAAGTAGTAGAGCACTAGCCTTGAGCAGAAAAGCTCAGGGATAGTGCCCAAGCCCTGAGTTCAAGTCCTGCGACCAACAAAAATAAAAATGAACTTTGGATCCAAATAAAAAGAAAAGAAGGAAAGAAGGAAGGAAAGAGAGGGAATGGAAGGGAAAAGGAGGGGACTGGAGGGGAGGTCAGAGCAAGCTTTAGGCTTCTGGTTCTAGTGTAGTGTATCATGCTGATGACCCTAGCTACTTGAGAACCGTAAGTCAGAAAGATCACAGTTCAACTTTGTAACCTAGGGAAAAATTTAGCAAGACCTCATCTCCACAAAAAGCATACTTGTCATCTCGTCAGCCCAAGAGTCAAGATCCTACCTGAAAAATAGCTAATAACTAAAACAAAAATAAAAGAACTAATACAAAAAGGGCTGGGGGTTTAGCTCCAGAGTGAATGTAGACTCTGCCTTGCAAGCTCAAGGCCCAGACTTCAAACCCCAGTACTGCCACATAAACCAAACAGAAACCTAAAATACAAACTAAAGCAAAGCGACCCTCAAGAATTTCAACTCAGGTCCATTACATAGCAAGGTGAATCTAGATAATGATAAATGATAATGTACTATAGATTTTTTTTAAAAAGCTAGAAGAAAAGATTTGAAATGTTTTCACTGTAAAGAAATGATAAATATTTGAAGAGATTTAAATCGATCATTTACCTTTTACAAGGGGAGAAGGCTGTTGTAGAGTGAAAGAGATTAAAACTATTTCATCAAACATAAAATCAAAAAGAAGAGACACACAGAGTTCAAATACTTAGGGAGAGAAAACTCAAAGCAGAAGATGATCATACGGGGACAGCTCTCTGGAGCAGGCAATCCTGACCACTTGTGTGACTTCATCTGTTGACTTGCAAGCTTATGACAGCATGACCATCGGTCCTTCAGGGCTGTGAATAACAGCTTCATCAGATGTGTTGTCATGTACCTATCTGTGACGATTCTCACTTAGTTTTCTAACTGATCTTAAAGGACAGAATGTACTGGGGGAAAGATGGGTTTGGCACACCAAGTGCAGATGAATAATGTTTTTGACCCACTTGCGGGGACTCCTGTTCCCAAATAAAGACTACCCAGCCACACAATGCTGAGCTCTGTGCTGGAGAGAGAAGCATGCACTTCTCTGAGGACCCAATGGAGTCCCAACGGACCCCAATGGGGTCCAGCTGGAGCAAGTCCAGCCTACCTAACTGGAGAGAAAGATTTCTTTGTGCAGGTTTCATTTCATTGGGCACCTTAAGCAGAATCAAATGGCTAGCTATAGGCCGTGTAACCTCCTGTGGATCACCTGATCACAGGTTTGTGGCTTTGTGGCTGGGCACTACCCAGGCTGGGACTGGACTTGTAGCTGTTCCTGGTTCTTCTGTTCTTCCTTCATGGCTCCCTTAGTGGTTTGCTCATATCTCCAATCTCTTCCCTCAGTTTGATTTGTTATGGGATATAATACAGATTAAGGAAAAGGCTTACTGCAACAACTTTAGGAAGTGACACTTAGAATCAAGTTCATTTAAACAGTAACAGCCAGTTTTAGCATTTGAAGGTTCATACTTCCCAATAGGCATTTGCTCATGTATTATGATAGATATCGTCTGTTAAGTACTTTACCCAGTGCTTGGCAGCATGTGTTGGGGATGTGTTCCAGGTTTTTGAGAGGCTACTGCCAGGTGAATAGGGCTGAGCTTTTTTTCCCTGTGTGACAGTACTGGGGCTTGAACTCATGGCCTGGGCATTCTTCCTTAGTTTTATTTGCTTTACCACTGGAGCCAAATTTCCACTTTTGGCTTTTGGTTGGTTAATTAGAGATAGGAATTTCACAGACTTTCCTGCCTGGACTGGGCTTTGAATCATAATCCTCATATCTCAGCCTCCTGAGCAGCTATGATAGGATTACAGCCACCAAAGCCTGGAGTAGAACCATTTTATAGGAGAAAAAAATTGAAGTTTTGACAGATGAATACGCTTTCCCTGAGTCTCATAGCTAATAAATAACAACAGAGTCTATTTCTGCTCCAATTCCTTACTAAATTTTCTTTTGATGGTGCTAAGGATTGAATCCTTTGCCTTCTGGGCAAATGTTCTACCACTCTGCTGCACCCCACCTTCCCACATGCAACTCTTTAAGGTTTGCCTTAACAATTTTAGGGCAAAGTATTAAGTTTATACCTGTAGGGAATTGGTGCCAGAGAAATACTGCAAAAAGCAGCACACAGCCTTCCTGCTTTGTCTCCCAGTGACTGACTTTCTGAATGTTTTTGTTTTTTTTTTTATTTTTGGGTCCGGTTGTGGGGCCTGAACTCTGGGCCTGGGCGCTGTCCCTCAGCTCTTCAGCTCAAGGCTAGCACTCTACCGCTTGAGCCACAGCGCCACTTCCGGCTTTTTTCTTTTTTCTTATGTGGTGCTGAGGAATCAAACCCAGGGCCTCAGGCATGCAAGGCAAACACTGTACCACTGAGCCACCTTCCCAGCCCTTTCTGAATGTTTTATAAAAGAAACACATTGTGTTGGTGAAGGTGGGCATTGGTGTATAATTCCAGAGCTTCCCCAGGATAGTTATGGCCAGCATGAAGACACTTACATGTTACTCACAGTGGGGACATTGAAGGCAGGTTGTTTAAAAAATGAGGAAGTCCTAGCTTACAATCCAGAAAACGACAAAGAAAAAGATAAAAGGCAATGAAGATAGCTGTCAAAAGTGCCTGGAAGGGCAGCAAGGAATCTGGGCAGGGTGAGAATCACCATGGCCTCCTGGAGCTTGTGTTTGGGTGTCTAAGGTGGAGTGGAGCTGGTAGGGATGGTGTGCATCACCAGAGACTTCCCCATCCAGTGACTTTGCTTTCATTTTCATTTCCTCTGGCTGCTTCCAGTTTCCTCAGCTCCCCAAGGCTGCTAGCACACCAGGTAGGTCTTACATCCCATTTCTCTGCAGTTCTTCGGCTGTCCCCTCAGCCTCTGCCCCCACACTAAGACTCCACACCCAGGACAGCTGGGCCAGGGAGGTTTCTGGGAGGAAACAGCTCCTCTGGATTCGGTACTGCTTTTCTGTAGACATTCAGCTACAGATTTAACTCTGAACTGTGCTGCTAGGTGGTCACTGAAATAGATGGGGTAGAGACCAGCAAGCAGTAGGAGGAAAGCCAGCCAGTGCGACCCCAGATCCCAGTACCTGTCCTGCTTGTTTGAACAGTGGCTTCCATGGGTCAGGAGGGCCAAGTCCTCCTCCTGGATGGTGACATCAAAACCAGTCCACAAGCTGGGCCCTGGTGGCTCACACCTGTCATCCTAGCTACTCAAGAGGCTGAGAGCTGAGGGTTGTGATTTGAAGCCAGCCCAAGCAGGAAAGTCCTTGAGAACTCTCATCTCCAATTAATTACCAGAAAACTGGAAATGGCACTGTGGCATGAAGTGGTAGAGTGCTAGCCTTGAGCAAAAGAGCTCAGAGACAGTGTTCAGGCGCTGAGTTAAAGCCCACAATTGATTGAAAAAAGAAAAAAGAAAAAAATATTTGCCATTTCAGCGGGCCCTCAGCAGAAGTGGAGTTGTGAGGCTGAGGATGGGGCATGGTGGTAGAACACATGCTTAGCAGGTATGAGGCCCTGGGTGAAATGCTAGAATCCCTTCTCCCATCAAAGAAAGAAAGAGATCCTGAGATCAGAGAGGCTGTAAGACCACTGAATATGCTCCCGGACTCTTACTGGTACTCTGTTGCAGAGGAGATCAAATCGGGGTGCCCCCTCTTCTAAAGCTAGTGCTTTCCCCCTTCTTTGCCTCTCTCAGGCACCTGGACCTGTGTTAAATATCCTGGCATTTCGAGTTGTGCCATCCATGTTTTCTAAGTCAGTGGCTGAGACCCCACAACTCCGCAAGCCAGTGGCTGTGACAGGTCGCAGAGGTAGAGTGCCGTGTGCAAACGAGTGGCTCACTTTGCCTTGTGGTGCTCGCACTGACCTCGTGTGCTAGCTCCCCACTACCGTGTGAGGACAGGGGTCCTTCCCTGCCTCCAGCTGTGGTGCTGAACTCATAGTACCACACCTCCACCTGCTGCGCCACCCGGGCACCTCCGCCTTGCCCTCGAGCAGCTGGGCCTCTGGGCAGTGAGCCAGGCAGGCTGTGAACGGCCTGTGGCCTGCGGGCAGTGTGCTGGCCTAGCCCATCTAGTGGATGATCCCAGGGCCTCGCACACTCCCTCATGGGCCTGTTCAGTGGCATGTTGGTGGTGGCCGGCTGCTGATGCTTGGTGGGAAGGGAAGTCACTGGATTGAGTCTGAGGTTTGTGGCCTTGAGTACAGCACGTAGCCTGGTCTGCAGAGCCTTGGGACATTTGGGTCTCCGGGCCCTAGGGCACTGCCATCCCTAAGTCTGTCCCTCACCCCTGCTGCCTCCCAGCATTTGCTGAAGGCAACGAATGTTTAAGAAGGCTGCGGGTCTGGCTGCCGCACTTCTGTCTTATAGATTGATGATCTCAAGCTGTTTTGCTGATGTCACTGTGCATCTGTGTTTGGGGAGAGAGTATAAGAGAATGGTTAATCCAGCAGGAGCTCATTATGCCATGAATGATGAAGGGTAGGCGCCTGGCTTATCCCTGTTTGATTTGCTTGCTTCATTGAGGAAAACAAATGACCGTGTCACCCTACTGAGAATTTCACTTTCTCCTTGACGTACAAATAAACAGCCTCCCATGTTTCATTTATTTTTGCCTGGAATGGTTGGTTTTTTCAAAATACATTGTTTGGCTTCTTTCTTGGATTATGACCTTCATTATTGGATAAGGAAGGGAAGCCAGTAAAAGTGTGTGTGTGTGTGTGTGTGTGTGTGTGTGTGTTTCAAGAAATAAAGGACCCTTAACTACTAATGCTCATTAGAAACCACACTGCTGCAAGTGGTGGTACACCTGTAATGCCAGCACTCTGGAGGCTGAAGTGGGGAGGTTGGGAGTTTGAGGCCAGCTGGGGTTTCATAGCCATGACATTGTTCAAAAAAATTCTTTAAAAAAATTTTTGTTGTGAAAAATACTGTACAGAGGGGTTACAATTACATGGGCAAGATGAAGAGTACATTTCTTATCAAGCATTGTTGCTTCCTCCTTTGTTTCCCCTTCTCCCCACCTCCCCCGGGCCAAAGTTATAAAGTTCGTTTTTCGACATAACGACTTGTACATCTCATTGTTGCAATGGGTCCACCTGTATCCCTATTTAAATGGTTTGTTTTGCCCTTCCCCTCATCAAATTATATCAACATCAAATACAATGAAAGCAGGGGTTATACCGTGGGGGAGGGACATACAAAGCAACAAAGAAATCATCTTTTAAATATGTTAGAAACAATCGCAAGAAAGAAAAACATTTGAATACAAATTTTTTTAAATTTATGGTTGAAACTAGCTGCGGTTATATATTTGAAGGGAATGGCACAGGCAGATACAAAATGAATGTCCCTCCCCCATGGTATAACCCCTGTTTTCACTGTATTTGATGTTGGTATAATTTGGGGAGGGAAAGGGAAAAAACAAATTCTTTAAATAGGGATACAGGTGG